AAAAATTTCTTTTTATAATACTTTTTTAAATAAATCAATCAAGAACATTTCTAAAAGGACATCCTGAATTGATTGTCCCAGTCAGACACAGGCAATGTTACTAAAATTATGTTAAGACAACAATATTTTGATCTTTGATTGATAATGATCGCTCAGTAACTACAGGTGAAATATTTACTTGTAACAAAGCTATCAAAGCAGAGGCAACCTGAGTGGTATTCTTGAACTCGTCGGAACTTACCGATTAACGACAACCATCGGTAAGTGCAACCACAGACTTCATGCCCTAGCCTAGATGCGATGAGCTCGCGGAAAGTACTGCAATATGTACTGATAGGTTTAATCTTCCAAATCCACAGCTTGGATTAGAATTGAATTAGCCTGAACGATCAATAGAGTACATAATAGCGTAGCACATTTATTATGCTACAAGTAAATATACGGCTGAAAATAGACATACTATTGAGGTTGTGTGGTTTCAACCTGTGGTTTAAAAAGCGGGGCATAACAAAAAAGATACCAAAACTTTAGCATAACTTAATGAGCTAAAAGTACAATGTACTGAGATGGCGGAATTTGAGAAATAGTTTCGTATGTGTAGTCTTTTAAGTTCATGTTAGAGCAACGGTCGTTGCAGATTTCAGTGGCATAAATAGCGAATATACATCATATCATAATATACAGGGTGGCGCATCGAAAACGAAACAGACGCATTTACTGGCAGCTCAGTTTTTTTTTTGGAAAAACGCTCAGACCCGTCGATTTTGTTTTCGAGGGGGACACAAGTTCGGCAAAAAACCACGTTAACACGTGCAGCCCCCTGGGCGGGGGTGACACCAGCCCTAAAATCTTAAATGGAAAGGGGGGTCGAGTGATACCTTATTTTAAAGGTCTTTCAATTTCCTTTATAATGTTATAAAATGAATGTACCTCAGTTCAGTAGTTTTGAAGATTTATTGATTTAAAGCTTAAAGTAGACTTTAATAGGTACATCAGATCAGTTTGTAGTACTTTCAGAAGAAATTTGACTGAAAGAATTTACTTAATAAGTAAATGCTTTTCTTGACTACGCCCATGGTTTGTTTATCATTTTGTTGTTGAAAAGAGCTATTGGAGCGTTTTTTTTTTTGTGGCAAAAAAGTTATTTCTTGAAGAAAGATAAGGAAATATCTCTTACTTATTTTAAATAGGAATTTAGTACCTAGTTTGCGATTGATTTGACCAAACTTTGTTGCTGAAATAACTTGTAACGCTTTATTACATAAATTAACCATGGTACATATATTCCACAGCAGAAAGAGCTGAAATTATCGAAATATTTTTCGGAAATAATCAGTGCGCTAATAGAACAGCAGAAATATTTAATAAGCGACATGAGAACAGTAACGTGCATCGAAAATATGTTCTGGAACTTTTTGCTAAATTTCGCCAATAAAAAACGCAACATTGGAAATCCCATAAGGAACGAAGCAATAGAAGTGGGGTTTTAGGGCAAGTTCATGTAGATCCTACGTTAAGTACCCGCAAATTGGAGACTGTGTGTAGTGTTAGTCGACGTACTGTCCAACGGATTCTAAAGGCCCATAGTTTTCATGCGTATAAAATTCACCTGGTACAAGAACTTAATGAAGACGATTTTGATCGGCGATTACAATTTTGTGAAGATATGAGTGAACGAATTATAAACGATGAACATTTTCTATTCAACACTTGCTTTTCCGACGAATGTTCCTTTTCTTAAGTGGCGTAGTAAATCGTCATAACTGCCGATATTGGTCCGATCCTAATCCCAGAATTTATCATGAGGTTCATACACAGTAGCCACAAAAATTAAATGTTTGGGCTCGCATTTTTTGCGATCATTTAGTTGGTCCTTTTTTCTTACCTGGAAATTTGACTGATGAAATGTATGAATTACTGGAAGACGCCATGGATCCTACATTAACAGCCATAATTGAAAGTCAGAATGATCGGCGGTACATTGCGAATAGGTTGATGTTCCAACAGGATGGTGCCCCACCATATTACGCATTACGTGTTCGACAATATTTAGATCAGACGTTTCCCGATCGATGGATTGGTAGAAGAGGTACCGCAGAATGGCCCCCAAGATCGCCGGATTTATCGCCTTTGGATTTCTTTATGTGGGGTCATCTAAAAAGCAAAATCTATGCTACTCAGCCAACATCATTAGAAGACCTGCGACAAAGAATTGTGAATGAGTGCTTTCAAATTACTCCTCAAATATTGCAAAACGTGCGGCAACGTTTTGACCAAAATCTTTATTATTGCATTGAGAGTCATGGTGGCCATTTTCAACATTTACTTGCCTAACGGATCAGTTCATTCTTCATTTTTAAATTACTTTGCTGCCAAATGTATTGATCTCCACTAATGATGATGTATTAGTTGTATTTAAGCTTTAAATCAATAAATCTTCAAAACTACTGAACTGAAGTCATTAATTTTATATAGTTATAAAGGGAATTGAAAGACCTTTAAAATAAGGTATCACTCGACCCCCCTTTTCATTTAAGATCTTGGGGGTGGCGTCACCGCCGCCTAGGGGGCTGCACGTACTAACGTGATTTTTTTCCAAACTTGTGTCCCCCTCGAAAAGAAAATCGACGGGTTTGAGCGATTTTTAAAAAAAACTAAGCTGCCAGTAAATGCGTCTGTTTCGTTTTCGATGCGCCACCCTGTATACGTAGCGCGCACTATTGAAAAGATAAGGTTATATTTCACAACAAATGGTAGGAAGTTCAAGCCCTACCGAGCCAGCACGGTGTCGTGGAATCGACGTAGATATACTAAGTGACATATAAATCCGAACACCCAGTTTAAATGGTTTTATTTTAATAAAATTTTGTATAAGTACTTAATGAAGCATATTAAGTAAATGATAAAAATTTCAAAATGATTGCACTGCTTTGAAGCCCTTTGACTTTTAATAATGTGTGGATGCAACCTGATGTGCTACGCATTCTCCACGGCGCCTAGACATGCTTCTGATCAGGTGGTCAATGTCCTCCTGTGGTATCTCATTCCAGGCAACCACCAACTCCTCTCGAAGTGCTTCTAGAGTCTGAGGAGGACGTTGCAAATTGAGCAATCTCCTACCCATCATATCCCACACGTGCTCAATTGGGGATAAGTCGGGAGATCTTGGTGGCCATGGTAACAATGTGACATCATTATGTTGAAAGAAGTCTATCGTGACTCTTGCAACATGTGGTCGGGCATTATCTTGTTGGATAGTTCGATCTGCCAGGGTGTCAAGATAGGGTAAAAGATGGGGTTCCAGAACTTCGTGGATATAACGCTGCGCGTTCATGTTACCTCTGATGAAGATTAAAGGTGACCTGGAACCATAAGCTATAGCACCCCAAACCATAACTCCAACAGTGTGATGAACATGTCTTTCAACAAAAAACTGTGGATTCCTCCTTTCACCACGTCGCCTTCTAACCCTGGCACGACCATCGTGCAAGCCTAAACAAAACCGAGACTCGTCACTAAAGACAATACTGTTCCATTCCTAATCCCAGAGTGCCCGTTGTCTGCACCACTCAAGGCGATTACGTCGGTGTTCTCGAGTTAAAGGGAGGACCCAGTGTGGCCGGTATGAAAACAAGCCAAAACTGCTCATTCGTCGATAAACACTTCTCAGGCCAATAGGTCTTCCGTGTTCTGCAAACCATTCATTTGCAATGGACCTGGTAGTGGAGAAACGGTCCCTTAAGGCCAATAATCTTAGGCGGCGATCTTCACGGTCTGTTGTTCTACGGCGGCGTCTAGTGCCCCTTGCTCTTTGCGTACGGCCTTCTCGAAGCCATGCCTGACAACACCTAACCAAAGTGTCTACACTTCTTTGCACTCTAACTGCAATTGCCCGAAAAGAAAGTCCAGCTTCCCGAAGTCCCACTATACGGCCCCTATCAAACTCACTAAGTTGACGAAATCGTACAGGTCTCCGTACTCTAGGCATCGTAACCGATCGTAAAGGATGTCAAGAACCAAAATCCGCCAACGTTGATTCTTTACTGCGGCTGAAATATTCATTTTTAGAGCGTTAATGAATTAAAAAAAATGCAGTATAAAAACCGGAATGTCCAACTGATAAGGCTGAAAATTTTTTCACTTGTTATTTACAGTAAGATAAATACATTCACCAACTTTTATTAAAATAAAACCATTTAAATTGGGTGTTCGGATTTATATGTCACTTAGTATATTTGGTGATTTTGGTCGAAGTTGAAGTTTAGAAAAAATTCTACGTTTATTCGACGTGGAAATCCGGTGTAGCACATCACTGGTCGACGAGGGACGTTTTATCCACGTGAAGTAGTGACCGGAAATACATCTGTACCTGTATTGGTTATTTATACACGTGGAAAAGACCCAGATGTGACGTTGCATTTTATCATAAATTTAAATTGTAATCTTCCAAATAGAGAATGTCCGAATGATGATGATAAGTGTTTGGGTGATGTAATTTATTTGTAGATACATCCTGGTCCCAAAAATATAAAAGCGCATATCGAACCTAAAATGCTTTGCGAGCTTTGTTATAAATAATAATGCCGTGTAAACATATGTATTAGTCATTATTAAGTGAAAATCATCGACCACCTTATTGTAATGATAAAATATGAAAGTGTGATTGAGAATTAAATATAATATCCATGTTTCCCCATTTCATGACCAATAAATTTTAAATTTCGCGCCTTGAAAGGGGAAGGGACAATGATAAAGAGTGTCATAGCTGCATTGCCAGATTGCAGAATTCTTATCATAATCACCGGTATCAGCTCCCAGGATTTTTACATACTTATATTTCAGATATGGAAAGCTGCAGATTGTTTTCTTGTTATAATTACTTTTGTAATGATGCATTTTTTGCGTCTATATAATGCTTTTGGCTGAAGCTGATCTTTGTGTGTCGTTGCGTCTTCCTTTGATCTATCCTTTTTTTTCATACCTATACTATTAACAATTTCCTAGGGTTCATAAATACTTGTTTTCTGATTGAGTCTAGTACATTTCCTGTGGAATTTTATATAAAGAACATTAAGCTTCTTCAACTCGATAACATTTGGACACATTGAACAAGCAGCATTAGGCAACCATGCTTTTGAACAGGCATCCGATCCAATCAAAGTCATTCCCACGCTCCCCGTGCTACTCAACAGGAAACTCATGTTGTTTCTTACGTCGCGTTCTCCATCCTGCATCAATTTTGCATTTTGCGAAATGTGATCGTATCTCCTGTAAAATCTAAAGTTTAAGTGTGTTGACAAAAGCCATACTGTGTTCCTGCTCATCGTTTAATCAAGAACAGTGTCGTGACAGTATCTATGCCTTTGTATGAGCCATAGGCATATGAATAGAATTTTCAGATGAAATTGGTCGTGGTGCTGGGGGCGATATTGCCATAGTGCATGAAAAGTGGCTGACTCCGAGAAAGAAACGGATGTGGTGGCCACCATATAAGCAGCAAGTACGAACAAGTACCGTATAAGCAGTACGATATCGGAAGAGTGTTTTTTGAGGACGGTAGGTATATTCTTCAAACTTTACCCATAATTAAGGGTCGTATCACTATCGTCAGTCGTCCTAACAATAATTGTAGGACTCCTATGGCCTCCTTGATTTTCACAGATTTCTACTGTTCCGTTTTACTTTGAGGTTATGTTACTTATCTATTCGCACAAAAATGTTCATACCTTTGGTTTATATCTGTTTTATCAGCCCGAAATTTCCTACGTTTCAAGAAGAAAACATAACTTCACAACCCCAGCCTTTTGAAGACGAGAAAATACTATGAAAATCAAGGAGGCCATAAAGGCATCCTTCAATGGTAAGAATGACTGACAATACGGCCCTGAAATGTATTTAATTCCTTCGATGACAGTTATCAAGGAACAGTATCAATTCAATTTGAATATTTTTCAAATAATGCAGCTGCTAATTAAAATGCAAAAATTAATTACCCGCAGGACTTTTTTATTACAAAGTGGGACTTCATGTTCAGCGAAAGTAAAGAGTAAAGCTGTACAGCACTTTTATACTGAATAGCAGTAGCCATGGGATTTGATACATATGTCATTAGGACTTAGTTGGTTATATAACCAAATTAGGAGAATATCATTTTCTTTTTCATATCTTTTTGAAGTTAGGGGGACGTGATATTACCAATAGAACAAATATAATTTTGAGGCGCCTAATATCTAATAATTTGGCAGTTAGATACAATTATTTGGGAACTAGACAAGAGAAGAGGGCATTCAAAACTTCATTTCTCAACAAGGTTGTAATAAGTAAGTACTAACAGATCTTTATAGGTTCCCAAACAGTTTCAGACCTAATATACCTTACAAATTTTATTTTTGTATCTGATGTAACATACAAGACTTGATGTACAACTATATTCAAAAATCCTTTTTCATGTGACAACTTTATATACGTATATAGGTAAACAAGTAAAAAAAATGTTTTCAAATAAAAATACTAAAACATAGAATGTTCTATCAGACAATTTATTCTGCATTTTAGCTGTCATATTTTATTTTTCCCCAGTCAAATTATATTGATTTTAAGTTATGGTTGGATTGTAATCTTATTTTGTATAAAGTTGATTATATCACATCTATATATTCAAATTTTAATTCAAGGCGCGGTTCTTTCACCAATGCTACCAAAAAAGATGTGTGAAGAACATTCCATTAAAACTTGGTTAAAGCTTGCACCAAAAAGATATAACACAAAATATTCGTATATCTTTTTTATCCTCAGTAGTAGGGGAATGTAATATTGTGTTAACTAAAAACAATATTCAACTTTGATTTTATACTCACATTCTTTTTTTTGTTAGACAGTGTCACAAAGTGAAAGGAACTATAAGAAGATTATTAGCGAGCATCAGTTATTAGTCATGTTTGAAAGGAAGTTCAATAAATACTTAATAAAATAAATGCCTCTCAGGTTGTGGCTTCATCTCAACAACAGTGTTGTAGAGTCAAGTAATTCAAATTTTGAAATAACTGAGGATATTTTGAGAAATGTGAGACATTTAGAACAAGATTTTGACAATAGTGGTAAAATTGAACAAGATCTATGCATCAGTTATATGGGAGATAGATTCTTCACAACTATGAGGCTCTAAGGACCCAAGAATACATCAATGCTTAATCTGCTGCTCACAAAACGATTGTTTCATTCACTAAGATCATATTTAAGTAGAAAGCTAATATGCAATGAAGTGTATTAAAACATATCTGGAAAATTTGTATCTATCTTCTTATTTATATATCTATATAGGTTAATATACAGGGTGGCGCATCGAAAACGAAACAGACGCATTTACTGGTAGCTCAGTTTTTTTTTGAAAAACGCTCAGACCCGTCAATTTTGTTTTCTAGGGGGACACAAGTTTGGCAAAAACTCACGTTAACACGTGCAGCCCCCTGGGCGGGGGTGACACCAACCCTAAAATCTTAAACGGAAAGGTGGGTCGAGTGATACCTTATTTTAAATGTCTTTCATTTCCCTTTATAATGATGAGCTTCAGTTCAGTAGTTTTGAAGATTTATTGATTTAAAGCTTAAAGTAGTCTTTGATAGGTACATCAGATTAGTTTGTACTACTTTCAGAAGAAATTTGACTAAAATAATTTACTTAATAAGTAAATGCTCTTCACTATGCCCACGGTTTGTTTGTCATTTTGTTGTTGAAAATAGCTATTGGAGCGTTTTTTTTGTGACAAAAAAGTTATTTCTTGAAGAAAGATAAGGAAATATCTCGTACTTATTTTAAATAGGAATTTAGTACATAGTTTGACCATACTTTGTTGCTAAAATAACTTGTAACGCTTTATTACATAAATTAACCATGGTATATTCCACAGCAGAAAGAGTTGAAATTATCGAAATATTTTTCGAAAATAATCAGTGTACTAATAGAACAGCAGAAATATTTAATGAGCGACATGAGAACATCGAAAATATATTAAGTGACATATAAATCCGAACAACATTTAATAAAAGTTGGTGAATGTACTTATCTTACTGTAAATAACAAGTGAAAAAATTTTCAGCCTTATCAGTTGGACATTCCCGTTTTTATACTGCTGTTTTTTAATTCACTAACGCTCTAAAAATCAGTATTTCAGCCGCAGTAAAGAATCAACGTTGGCGGATTTTGGTTCTTGACATCCTTTACGATCGGTTACGATGCCTATAGTACGGAGACCTGAACGATTTCGTCAACTTAGTGAGTTTGATAGGGGCCGTATAGTGGGACTTCGGGAAGCTGGACTTTCTTTTCGGGCAATTGCAGTTAGAGTGCAAAGAAGTGTAGACACTGTGGTTAGGTGTTGTCAGGCATAGCTTCGAGAAGGCCGTACGCAAAGAGCAAGGGGCACTGGACGCCGCCGTAGAACAACAGACCGTGAAGATCGCCGCCTAAGATTATTGGCCTTAAGGGACCGTTTCTCCACTACCAGGTCCATTGCAAATGAATGGTTTGCAGAACACGAAAGACCTATTGGCATGCGAAGTGTTTACTGACGAATAAGATGTTTTGGCTTGTTTTCATACCGGCCACACTGGGTCCTCCCTTTAACTCGAGAACACCGACGTAATCACCTTGAGTGGTGCAGACAACGGTCACTCTGGGATCAGGAATGGAACAGTATTGTCTTTAGTGACGAGTCTCGATTTTGTTTAGGCATGCACGATGGTCATGCCAGGGTTAGAAGGCGACGTGGTGAAAGGAGGAATCCACAGTTTTTTGTTGAAAGACATGTTCATCACACTGTTGGAGTTATGGTTTGGGGTGCTATAGCTTATGGTTCCAGGTCACCTTTAATCTTCATCAGAGGTAACATGAACGCGCACCGTTATATCCACGAAGTTCCAGAACCCCATCTTTTACCCTATCTTGACATCCTGGCAGATCCAACTTTCCAACAAGATAATGCCCGACCACATGTTGCAAGAGTCACAATAGACTTCTTTCAACATAATGATGTCACATTGTTACCATGGCCACCAAGATCTCCCGACTTATCCCCAATTGAGCACGTGTGGGATATGATGGGTAGGAGATTGCTCAATTTGCAACGTCCTCCTCAGACTATAGAAGCACTTCGAGAGGAGTTGGTGGTTGCCTGGAATGAGATACCACAGGAGAACATTGACCACCTGATCAGAAGCATGCCTAGGCGCGTTGGAGAATGCGTAGCACATCAGGGTGCATCCACACATTATTAAAGGTCAGAGGGCTTTAAAGCAGTGCAATCATTTTGAAATTTTTATCATTTACTTATTATGCTTCACAAAATTTTATTAAAATAAAACCATTTAAACTGGGTGTTCGGATTTATATGTCACTTAGTATATGTTCTAGAGCTTGTAGCTAAATTACGGAAAACTGTGTCAGTCGCCAATAAAAAACGCAACATTGAAAATCCCATAAGTAACGAAGCAATAGAAGTGGAGGTTTTAGGGCAAGTTTATGTAGATCCTACGTTAAGTACCCGCAAATTGGAGACTGTGTGTGGTGTTAGTCGACGTACTCTCCAACGAATTCTAAAGGCCCATAGTTTTCATGCGTCTAAAATTCACCTGGTACAAGAACTTAATGAAGACGATTTGGATCGGCGATTACAATTTTGTGAAGATATGAGTGAACGAATTATAAACGATGAACATTTTCTATTCAACACTTGCTTTTCCGACGAATGTTCCTTTTTCTTAAATGGTGTAGTAAATCGTCAACTGCCGATATTGGTCCGATTGTAATCCCAGAATTTGTCATGAGGTTCATACACCGCAGCTACAAAAATTAAATGTTTGGGCTGGTATTTTTGGCGATCATTTAGTTGGTCCTTTTTTCTTACCTGGAAATTTGACGGGTGAAATGTTTTTAGAATTACTGGAAGATGCCATAGATCCTGCATGAACAGCCATAATTGAAAGTTAGAATGATCGGCGGTACATTGCGAATAGGTTGATGTTCCAACAGGATGGTGCCCCACCACATTACGCATTACGTGTTCGACAATATTTAGATCAGACGTTTCCAGATCGATGGATTGGTAGAAGAGGTGCCATTGAATGGCGCCCAAAATCGCCAGATTTATCCTACCTTTGGATTTCTTTATAAATCTTTATTATTGCATGGAGAGTCATGGTGGCCATTTCCAACATTAACTTGCCTAACGGGTCAGTTCATTCTTCATTTTTAAATTACTTTGCTGCCAAATATATTGATCTCCACTAATGATGATGTATTAGGTTTATTTAAGCTTTAAATCAATAAA